CTATAGGCCTGAACAAAACAAACAAGAAAAATATGTCGCAACGACCCGCGCTATATGTAAACGAAAAAAATTCCCACAGCTTTACATGAAATTTCAAATCTGCAATAGTAGGTAAGAGCGAACAAAAACGAAAGGCACAAAATGAAGTGGACCGAAATAATTTCACACGTATTCGAATTTGCTATAAATATTATTGTATGGAATCGGAGTAGTTGGCCCACTAGGAGACGGCAATTGTGACGATGGTGTGTATGACTGCACTGAATTCCGTGGGGATATTACAGTAGGAGGGGGAGTAGTTTCCGTAAAAGCTAGATTGTTCATTTTTCGAGTGAAGTACTCATCACTCAAGGAATCGACGACATCCAAGACTTCCTAGATCAAAAGTTCAGTGAGAGAAAGGTTGAAAGTCAAGAAATAATCAAAACTAAACCTGTCTTGATTTCCCATGGAATGCTGCCAACTGGACAAGTTCACGCAAGAAGTCGTCATGAGGTGGTGGTACGGATGGCACACGACGGGAACTGCTAAAGTACATACGGCAGAAGTAAAAGATCTCAAAATAGGGAGGCAATGAAGAATTGAAAGACAAGCGCTCTAACGAAAGGAGTCGCTAGTATTAGTAGAGCAAGAATATTGGTTTCTAGACAGGGGAAAGAAGGAACAACTATCCGAAAATGATAGACGTCCACAAGAAAAAATCAGATTAATGTGGCAGTGAAAAGGGTGAGAAAGGGAGAAGGAAACTGGTCACTCCGATTCCCGCCCGCTGGGAATGATCACAATGCCAAATCGGTATTTCACTTAACTGTTCTTACCTCTCCACGTCCACTTCGAGCTGATCGGCTGATGGCGGCTTCACCTTACAAGTAACAACAGCGATGCGCATTGCTGTGAACCTACAACGATAATTATTTTTTCTATATAAAAATTTCGAGGAAATCCCAAAACATTTGAACCTTATGTGTTGCATGGCAGCAATGTCTCCGCTGTGGGTGACATTGCTAGATATGTCACGACTTCCATCTGCTCCGTTACCAACTTCTTCACCCAACTGTGCCAAGACTTCGGTAATCCGAACTACTTGATGGGAAGCGTTCAGAATGTACTTCACCTAAAGAAGCCACCTGACATCGTCTGTCTGCATATGACGGGACTTGCCTCCCAGCTTACCTTCTCAGCATCGGCAATGTCTCTCAAATAGTCCTTCAGACACTTCGTCTGCAGT